CTCTTTCTCTCTCTTGAACGTTTGCTCCGTCATATCGCACGCACCACTCAATGCAGCTACGAGAATCATTAGAATTTTAATGCGTTAAGAACATTCGTTGTAAAATCATGACTGTTAATTTTTCGCATCGCGACCATGGTGCGATTCGCAAATCTTTTCGCTCTTTTCTCTCCGTCTCTCTTTCGCCAAGTTCTCTCGCTCTGTCTTGGGAATAAAGGCGCATCGGTGAAAGCGGAATTTTTGGGGCTCATTAGAACCGGTCGTAGTAGCCTCGGCGAGTTGATTTTGCAAGATTCATATCTCGGCAAGCTCATCTTTCTGTTTGTAATTTTTTGGCATTTTTTTCGTAACCCGGAGAATTCGGAGAATTCCCGTGTATCTTGGAGAAACTGTCCTCGCAAATTTGAGACTGACATGTGTCCTCGAAAAAGGGCAGTTCGGAGTGGGGGAGAGGGAGACGATACTCCGTTGAAATTCTGACGAGTTCGGAATTCGCTGTTGCTCGGCGCGCGCGCGAGGATGAGTCTTCGCCGCGTTTAGTCACGACTATACCGCAAGCATTGCGAGAACTGGCGTAAGATCTATTTTCGCGTATTTACAGCTGCGAGAATTAAGCTCGCCGGTGCGATCTCTTGTAACTCGCTGAAGGTGAAACTGAACGGCGCAGAGCAGCATGAACGATCATTGACACAACGTGCGAGGACAAATCCGCGGGACGCGACCTCGATTTTCGGACAACGACAACGACTGTGACGATGACACGCCGTCCACAGGACGGTACACAACACAGTGATTTCACAACACGATATTTTCGTACACGCTTCGCATGATACGTCCCGCAGAACTGTCTTTTTCCGCCTCTCTCACTCTCTCTCGCTCATTCGCTCTTTCTCTCTCTTCGCTTCTTTGTTTCTTTCTTGTTCACACGAAAGACGCACGACAGATGCGTTGGGAGGCGTCGAACGCGCAAGGAAGAGAGGGCGAAAACGGCAGGTACCGCTCTTGATTCGACTTTTAACGCTCGCTTCAAGAGAGACAGAGCCGAGGAGAAAGGAAAGAGAGAAAAGATGTAGAAGCGCGTGTACGTGAGAACGAAGGAGCGAGAGCGAGATGAGACTGAGCCCGGTTCGAAACCGGTATACACACTCACCGCGTAGTTCTGACTTCCGGGCCACGGATTCTACGTCTATTCTCAACGACAGAAGCGCCGCTACTATCGCGTCGCGTAGAACGTATTTTCATCGCGAGCACCACATTGGAAATTCCGCCGGCCGAGGGCTTAACCCCCCGGTCGGCGTGCGCCGGCCGGCGCGACCGTCGTACTCGTGTTCGTCGTCGTCGTCGTCGTCGTCGTCGTCGTCGTCGCGGGTTATTTCGCGGCGCATTTGCGACCGAAACGTCGCGCCACGCTGTCCGTTCCAAATTTAAATTCACATTTCGGCCTCGGCGTTCCCGGTGGAACGATGGAGGCCGTGCGCGCGCGAGCGTGCGTGCGTGACTTATTCAACGTACCTCCGAGAGAACGTGCCTGGTCCTCCGCACCCGGTCAGCGGATGCAGCCACAGTCGCGCAGAGAGATGCAGAAAGATCACGGTCTCACCGAAGAAGCGATACGCGTGTGTATAATCCGATCCTTCGAGAGAGGCTGGCGTATATCTCGTGCACAGCGACAAACTCTCGAGGGAAGCTCGAACAAGGAGGGCGCGCACTCACAACCGTACGAGGCTCGTAAGGAACTGCCGGCGATCCCCTTCTAACGCGACGCAACAATTGGCGGCACGCCCGCCGATTGGTCGCCCGCCGATTGGTCGCCCGCCGATTGGTCGCCCGCAGCCGCGCTCGCGACCAATCATGGCCGCGCTGCGCATGCTCGCGTCGCAGCGCGCCACATTCAAACGTCCGTAACAGTGTTGGGATTCCTCGACTGAGGACATCTCTGGCATCGACCAAGTAAAGCGGGGAGCGCACACCTTTACATAAAGGCATAATGCACAACGCGTAAGAAAATTGATCAACCAGAATTCTCATTTTTATTGCCACGATGAAAATGAAGGACTCTGATTGGTCAATTTTCTTATGCGTTGTGCATTACGTTTTTATGCAAGAGTGTGTGCTCTTCGCTTAACACTAATGATATCAGATTGGTCTTACGAAATTTTACGCACCAGAAATCTCACTGTTCAATAACCCTCTGTCGGTAAATTTGTCGATAAAAATGCGTAAATCAATGCAGATAAATGTTTTTACAGATAACTATAGAGATGCATTTTCATAACAATACTAAATATACTTCATTTTGGTTTCTGTGCACAACGATAAAGCATCAAGATAGTTGTAAATAATAGTAAATTGTAATAGTAGATAGTAAAAAATTTAAAAATTAGTACTATATTGGATAGCTAAAAATAGTCGATAATGTCATCCTTCTTCAATTACCTCCGAGCTTCTCGAAACCTCTTTGCTAATAATACTTAAATTTACCCAGGACTGATAGTCTTTAGTAATACCTTATTCGTGTTACTGACTTCTTACTGATTGATCCAGTTTATTGTTTAATCAAAAATGGTAGGTCTGAGGATTATCACATAAACTTCATAGTTATAAACTCCACAAAACTCTAGACTTTTCTGTAGTAAAAATTGCTATTTAATGGGATATATAGATATAAAAGGAATATATAGATATAAAAGATATAAATATAAAAGATATAGATATAAAAGGAATCAATTTCTTTTGGGAATTAAAAGACCTATTTTAGTAATGCAGATACCATTTTCAATCAAACGTTGTCCAGACTCTTACTTGAGGAACTTATATCGGGCGACACGTCAGTGAGAGATATTCGACGATACTTTGCGATATTGTTAAGATAAAATTATCGGTGATAACGTCAGTCGCGGAATTGATGTTCTTGGAAATTCGTTTGAACTGCACAGAATTAAGTCAACTCGCTTTTGTTGCGTTATTAACTATTTATGCACAGTTAGAAGTGCCGTTAAACGTCGCCGACAACGTCTATACGATATTACGATTTCGTGCAGATTTAGAAAGAAGGAAAAAGAAATTCGCTTTTTTTGTCAGTGAGACGGAGAGAAGTAAGCGGAAGCGAGAGGAGAGAGTAAAGCGTATATAAGGCAGAGTGTGTAAATGGATATATACTTGGCGTCGCAATAAAGTATTTTTGTCCCATCGAGGATAGATAAACGTCACGTATCTCCATTTGCGAATTACTATTCTTTTATACCAAAGATAATAGTCGACGTAAACACTGACTCACCACTTATCGTAATGTCGTATTCCAAGATTGAAGAGCAACAGAAGTGTCTTTACGTTATCAAAAAGTAATGAAAATATAACTTCTCGAACTTTTACCTCACATTAGTCAAACTTAAATTGGAAGTAGTTGTAATAATTTCTCAACGTCAACTATCTATCTTACAGTCCTTATTCATTCTTTAATATTTAACATATAAAGTATATCGAACGTTGATCGCTAGTGACCGTTATGGCATTATCTATTATTTTTCTTATAAATAATTCTAATTGAGAAATTTTTGGACACAGTGAGACTTTGAGAAAACCACGTGTCTACTGGGACTAAAATTTACGACGCCTAGTTTACAACACTCGCAAAGCGAGCTCTCTTGCGGTTATCCTACATTTGACATTTCCGTTCATCGAGAAAGCGCATAGCGAATTTGTCGAATGAAATACGACTTTTTTATTACCCTTACTGTGTTAAAATTCCCGTGTATGCATTGTTACCCGCGATGCGGGTTGAATGGAATCAATTTTAGTAGTCGATTAGAGAGACTGACCGCTTTCCTCGTACGATATCTTTTTGCTGACACATTCAAGTGCTTCTGTACGCTCTTCTATTTCTAACTGTCGTGCTTTAAGCGAAGTATAAATCGCACGTATCAAGCGTTTTTTTCAGAGGTTCGCAGTCGAGTTATTTCTACAAAAAGCGTAATAAGACTCGATGTTGTGCGGTGGACGTTATTGGCGCCCTATCAAATTGCCGTTGACTTACGTTTGAGAAAAAGCAGAAATTGACACATGGCGAGACGTAGGCCTGTCGGTGCCGACAGCGTATACGGAAGGGGATGGAAAGAGGAAAAAGGCGCGATAACACTCACACGATGTGATATTCCCGTCGAGAGAGAAAGAGATAACAGTTTCGCTTACGCGTGATCCCAAACTTTATCTAAGATAAGATACTCTATGTTGAATGCAACGTGGTGTCTTTCTTGCAAGTCAACAAGGGACGTCCGTCGTATTTCGAATGAAGCCTAGACCGGAAATAAGAGAGGGTGAGATCCATTTATAGTTTGCGCAAGCACGAAAATCGTGTCACCGCAGGAATGCATCATTGTCTCTCAACGAGGGACGAGTCGCGCGGTAATGTGCATCGCGCACTCAAACACATTGCCATTTTACTTGCAATTCGACAGTAGTATGTGCGTAGGAGAGAGTAAAGCGCGCAAAAAAAGCTACGTCTCTCAAGACGGCGGAGGAACTTACAATGAACTTGTCTCTTCATATTCTTAGAGCGCGCGATATTCTTACAAGGATATGCTCTCTCTTTGTTCCGTTTCTTCTTTCTCTTTCCTATTTCAAAACTATTCTCTCTCGCTCTCTCGACGTTCTTTCCGAAATACCCCGTTCCCTACTCCCGTGCTGTATAACGACTAGACGCAATCTCGACGCTGATGTGGCGTGTATGCGGCGACGAGGCCTACGGATTTACATCATCTCTCGCCGGCCAATCCGGCCGTGCTTCGTTCGCCGAACTCGTTCGGCGCCGGTCCTCGGCGACCGCGAGAAGGAACACGAAGGTGAAGACACTCACTTCCGGCGCAGGCCGAGGACGTGAGCGCCGAACGAGGTCGAAATGTAGTTCGCCAGCGATACGAACAGACTGCTCACCGCGTGATAAGCGTAACCGTACACCAGCGCGACGCACAAGCGAGTCCTTACGGATGACAGGTTGCACTTACTAGCAGCTCGCGGCGGCGAGGGTGGCGACTCGTCGTCGTCGACGACGGGTGCGTCGGGCTCGGTGACGCGCGCGTCGCTATCTACGACGCCGCGTGGCGGCGGCTGCGGCACCACGTCGTCATTGTTGTCGCGCGGCACGTTGTCGTCCGCGCCGTAAACGTCCTCATTACTCTGTCCTCGGATACGATTGTCCATCACGTCGTCGGCATCGTACGTTCGCCGAATGTTCGCATTGTCGCGGCTAAGATCGTCTTCATCGTCCTCGTCCTCGTCGTCATCCTCGTCATCGTCGTCCTCGATGTTGTTGTCACCTTCGCTCGCGACATCACGCCGCGACTTCTCGTCGGGGAAGAGCTCGCGCGACAGCCGCTCGAGCGGCGCGCGAACGTCGGGCGCGTCGTCGACGGCGTCGACGTCGGTCTCCGGACCCAAGTCACCGTAATCGTAGTCGTCGTTACCGTCCAGGTCTTCCACGTGCTTGCCGTTGCTGGAGCTGGTGCCGTAGATCAGTCGACGGTTATCGTCGAGATCCAGATCGGTGCCGTTCTCGTGCTGCAGGTCGGCGTCGAGCTTTTGTTGCTGCTTCACAAAGGCAGCATTCACGTCGAACTGGCCGTTGACGTTCGACAGGAACGGATTGTTCGAGTCCATGTTGTTCAGCGTTAGACCATTCGGCGCCGGATACGACAGTAACGGATGCGCGTTCAGGGGTCGCGAGGCGATCTCGATCGGCGGTGTCAGGAACACTACTATCACGGTGATGTTGTCGAACGAGCCCGCGCGCTTAGCGCACTGCAGCAGAGTCTGTTGCACGTATTTGAGGTCGTCTGCAAGAATAAAAAAAGCAACGTTAGCTAATTCCTTCATAATTGTAAATCGATCACATGGAGAAGATACGCTTCTTTCACATTAAATCTTTTCAATTTCTATGTTCTTCTATAAAATTTCTTTTCCACACGGAAAAAAAGATTTGCTAATATATGGACAACTAAAATTATTAACTGTAGGAGCAAATTTTCTTGCTTTCATAGCAAAGTTATTTAGTTGTAATAACTAAAAGATTTGCTAATATATGGACAACTAAAATTATTAACTGTAGGAGCAAATTTTCTTGCTTTCATAGCAAAGTTATTTAGTTGTAGTAGCTAAAAGATTAGCTAATATATATATTAGCAAATCTTTTAGTTATTACAACTAAATAACTTTGCTATGAAAGCAAGAAAATTTGGTCCTGCAGTTAATAATTTAATACATATATATATTAGCAAATCTTTTAGCTACTACAACTAAATAACTTTGCTATGAAAGCAAGAAAATTTGCTCCTGCAGTTAATAATTTAATATATATATTAGCAAATCTTTTAGCTACTAATTTTAGTTGTCCATATATTAACAAATCTTTTTTTCCGTGTATGTTTCTGGTAACGCAAAAAAGGATTGTCAATGAGGTCTATTTCGCTAAGATAGTTAATTTTTTAAAAATTAAAAATTTGTTTTAATAGCACACTTCAGTTTCCGAGACATAAATACTATATATCAAATGAAATGATACATAAATTACTATAAAATACCGATCTATTCCTCAGTTACCAAATTCTATAATAATTTTCACTATAAAACTCTCCCGTGCACAATTATCGTCATTTCGAGAGCATGCAAATTCGAAGTGACGCGCGCGCTTCTTGCGCTCTCTCATTTCGTTAGAGACCCGTTCTAAAGAATCGAATAATGTTCTTATTGTTGTTCTTATTGCCCTATCACTGAGAAAGGCAACGAGATTATCCTGGGACAGATCTCTCGTCGTGTCTCAATCATCTCGAGTAAATCCCCATGGTCGTTTTCCCACTTGCGTGTATCTCAATACGTGACGCGATGAACCGAGTGTTTCCGGAATCGAAGTACGATGGAAAAAGCGCTGCGCCGTCGTTTCGCCCCCCTCGACGGCGGAGGGTTCAAGTACGAGGTTACTGGGGCCGCTGTGCCGGCGCGAACGAAGAAGACGTCAGACGCCGTCCGCGAAGAAGGAGAGACCCGAAGAGACGCGGAAGAGACGAGAGCGAGGATATACAGTGCAAGTATTTTTCAATGGATTCGCTGTTCCGTGGTCAATTAGCTTATCGGCGTGAGTCATCGTAATAAAAGTGCAGCTAAGGTTTATAGTCGGCGGAGTCAATGGTTCGTGAATAAAGAAGTACGCTCGGGGATCATCACGCGATCGCACTCAAGAGGCACGTAACTATCGCTTCTATCAGAAATATTGTTTCCTATAAAACGCAGACACTTATAACTGTATGTAACGCGCGCGCCCGCGGTGGTTGTACAGGTGCGCTCGTCGTCGCAACGCGACGCGAGAATCGTCCTTGCTGCGCTTTACTCTCCACGGCATAACTCGTCGGCCTCGTCCTTTTCGTGCAAGCGCTTTCTCGGTTGATCAAAGAGGATATTCTTGCACGGATTTTATAATAAAAATAGGACCTACGGAATCTTGTAACCAAGAAATAGATCGACAGTTTTGCAGCACTTGATCGTCCCTTCGTTTCTTCGAATTTTTTTTATATTTCAGATACAGAAATGTTGTGCATTGAAACATGTTTCTAATGAAATTTTTTATCGTTACTTGTTATTTTATTGTTACTTGAAGATTTATTGTGTTTCTTAGCAAGGCAGATCTCACTACTGACAGAGTCTGTTCCTGCATTATCAGAAACATAATAATAAAATTGAAAAAGGAAATGCGGCCAAATTTAACCCCATTTTGCGGCATTCGAAATCTTAAATTATTTTTCGATAAAATTGTAACTATATTCATGATTGCACGTGGATTGTCGAATCGATATCGTTTGGCGGATTCGAGTGTTCAGGCAACGTTAGACGCTGTGTTCATTAAATTAAGACGTCTCGACGTTAGTTTCTTTTTTTTTCTTGTTCGAGGGAGAAACTTTCAGGAGTCGCGCACTATTTTGCGTGCTGTGTCGCGTGCAGCAGTCCGCGCCTAGAAATTTCACGTCGGACGAAAGCTCGGCGAATTAGTGAAAGTACTTGACGCGGCGGCTCTCCTTGCACCCGCAAGAAATATCGTGCGGCCCTGGCAGAAGGTACGTTGACCTACGCGCTACACCGCCTATCGACGCCTGCGTATAGTCCTCTCTCATCCCTCTCTCCTTCGTCCTCCGCCGCTCGTTCTCTCCTCTTCTCTCTCTCTCTCTCTCTCTCTCTCTCTCTCTCTTTCTGTCTGTCTCTCCTTCTCCCTCTCTTGCTCTTTCTCTCATGCCGTTTCGTTTCTCCCCTTGCCTACCTCGTCGCGCTCACCTCTCTCGCCGTCTTCTCTTTCATTCTCTCGCATTTACGCTCTAGTGACTTTATTATGCCGCAAAAGCGTTCGTCCGTCATCCGGCGGGGAGGGAGAGGAATATTAATTTAACCATCGGTCCGCTTTTCCGCGTACTCGCCGCCCCCTCGCCCCCTTTCCCGCCTTCCCGAATGGGAAAGAAAGGAAAAGAAAGATCGCTACGCAGCGTCGCGAAAGAGAGATCTCCGGTCGAGAGACCACCTGAAAACCGTCCGGTCGCCAAGGCGATAATTTCAGAAAGAGAGCGGGACGCGCGAAATCGAAGAGTTACATCCTGCGAGGGTCGGACATCCACTCGACTGCCAATGTCGACCGCTGCTGCGAGCACTATCACCGACGGTCACCCGAGGACATCCGCATGGTTACCGATGACGCATTATAGGCGGCCAAAGGGGACTAATACGAGCGGCGGTAACGATCGATAATCGCCGGCTTGTATCGCCCGACACAAGGATCACGCGTGCGATAATTGGCAAAGATACTCCTCGGCCGATGTGTGATACACTTATTTCGTTCCGCGATTTCCTACGGGGAAGGAGAGACGTCTCATCCTCCGCTGCTTCCGCTACAGATGGAGGATGCAGCGCACAGAGGAGGGAAATAAAACAAAAAGCAGCAGAAGGGAAACACGTATCCGTGATGCACGCGTTATCGATTGTACGTGCCTCTGCCGAGGATTCAGCGAAAACGTGTGCGCGCACATTGTTAGCGCGCGAACGCGAGGGTAGGAGAGCGAGAACGTGCGCAAATGACGTGGTCGGCTGTACACCATCAGCAGAACGACGAGTGTCGCTCGTTTAATGAATTCTGCCGCATTTTTCTCCCGTCTATTCTACGCGGCCACAATGGACAACGCGGCGACGAGACGACGAAGACGACGGCCGTTCAAGGTCGCTTATGGTAACGCGTTACCAGCTGCGTGCGTTGATAGCGGCGCTACGATAAGACTATGAACGAGAGTCTCGTGCATGGGTCAAGATAACGCTTGGTGCTTTAAGGTCTTGTTATGTTCGACCGCATATTCAATTAGTGCGCGAACACGAAAAGAAAATGTCTCGCTGGTCTAGGTAGAATTCCACGGCCCCTATTAGTAGTTGTTACTTGAAACTTGTGAGATACTTAGTTCCGAAGATAGATGAGAGTTGCTTACTTGAATTATGTATGCGGCATTTGCAATCACGATTCAGCTGAAAAACTCACGTCTAACTCTAAATTAAAATCTGAGTCTCACTTCCTGTGGCTTTAAGTAACGGAGCTAAGTGTCACGGTTAAAATTGATCGCTGTGTGTTTTGTGTCTGCTAGATAATAGTCTGTGTTACGTAGCATTTACATAGCAGCAGTATTCTAACAATGTCTGCGAGTGAATTTGGGTGGGTGTGAGGATTATTCATTCGTTTGTCTCTCGTCGTTGCTCCATCACAATCAATCTTTACAAAAAGTGTGATTGGCTTTAATCTAGATGAGCGCCATAAAGAAGCTTTCTTGCTGAAGAGATGTGAACTATGAAATATGAACGAATCAATAAATTCCGGTTGAAGTCTAAGTTAATAAGAGACCTTGTTGAAACAGAATTCTACTAACTTCAACCAGAATAGAATTTTTATTCTGGTCCACCTATATTTCACCCGAAATTTGCTTAATCCAAGCAAACTTTTTTCTCGCGTACCTCCACACCGTCGGTAAGGATCCGAGGCCGCGACGGAGACCGCTGCGGGTACTTTTTTTTGCGGCGAACGGCGATATAAATTACACGGAAATATTAGATTACACGTGCCGGTCTCCCGTGCGACAGCCCGGCTTCGCGGAAAAAGAAAACGGCGTCGCGGTTGTGCGTACTCGAGGAAAACGGCCGTTTTTTTCTTCCTTCCTTCCTTTACATCGGCGAGTCGCCACTCTTGAGCTGCTCTCGATCGGGAATTTAAATCGTTTCCCCCTCTCTCTTTCTCGCAAATATTCCAAATTCCAAAGATCCTCCAACTCCAGTATTCGTTTTGTTTAACATTTAAGATACGATGATGACGTCTCATGTCATCGCGCTCGTGTTGTTTAGTTGAGTGTCTTAGGCACAGACCATGGGGTGTCTATTACATCAAATATTAATAACTGATAGATAAATCCTCGACAACTTTTCACGATGCCATCACTTTCGTCCCTTACAACTCGGATTTCTTGCTCCAGATGATTCTTACTAGTCGCACAGAGATCCTCAAGAGACCATTTGCGGCAACCGCAACTTATTTTTGGATTTCCTTATCCCAATATGGAAACTATCAATTCATCCTCAAGTACATTCCATCATTCTCTATATCGTCACATTTTGTAAATGAAGGAGCAAACTCGAAGAGTCAGGGCGCTTAGGCCTGATGCCAAAGTATGTCCCTGGCCTTTGTTGTGTCATCATTTCCAATTCTTAATTTTTTCTTATGGTCTCTCGTTATTATTTTCTTTACGTGCATGTGTGTTATTCCTCCTCTCAC